GCGTGCACTTGTAGTTCTGCTACTTGAAAGGCTGAGGTGGAAGGATCCCCTGAGCCCAGCAGGTCAAGGCTGTGGTGGCCGTGAACGTGACACTGCACTCCAGCCTTGGTGACAGAGTGAGACTCCCATTCAAAAAAATAAAAATAAGAAAGGGGACCAGGCTCGGTGGCTCAGCCTGTAATCTCAGCACTTTGGGAGGCCGAGGCGAGTGGATTGCCTGAGCCGAGGCGAGTGGATTGCCTGGGCAACTTGGCAAGACCTCGTCTCTACAATAAATCAAAAAGTAGCCGGGTGTGGTAGTGTGCGCTTGTAGCCAGCTACTTGGAAGGCTGAGGCGGAAGGATCGCCAGAGCCCAGTGAGGCTGTGGTGGCCGGGAGAGTGCCACTGCACTCCAATCTGGGCAACAGAGTGAGACTCTAACTCAAAAAATAAAAAATAAAATAAATAAAAAAGGAACATTGTACGAGCTTCTGCAAAGCAAAAGAAACCATCAAGAGAGCAGGGAGACAGCCCACAGAATGGGAAAAAATATTTACCAACTGCTTATCTGACAAAGACTTAACATCTAGGATCTACAAGGAACTCAAACGCACCAAAAAAAAAAAAGCGAACAGCCCCATTAAAAAGAGGGCTAAAGACGTGAATAGAGACTTCTCAAAAGAAATATATGGGCAGCCAATAGACACATGAAAAAGTGCTCAGCCTCACTCATCATCAGAGAAATACAAATCAAAACCACACTGAGATACCACCTAACCCCAGGAAGAATGATCAACATTAATAAAACAAACAAACAACAGATGCTGGCAAGGATGCAGAGAAAAAGGAATGCTTCTACAGTGCTGGTAAGAATGCAAACGAATACAACCTCTTTGGAAAAGGTGTGGCAATTACTGAAAGAACTAGAAATTGACCTTCCATATGACTCAGCAATTCCCCTATTAGGAATATACCCAGAGGGTCTTAAATCATTCTACAAAAAAGATACCTGCACACGCATGTTTGTCACAGCTCCATTCACAATAGCAAAAACATGGAACCAACCATGCTGCCCATCGAAGCTGGACTGTATTAAAAAAATGTGGGCCGGGTTCGGTGGCTCAGCCTGTAATCCCATGCCTGTAAGCCCGCAGATTCGAGATCTGCCTGGGCAGTGAGACCTCATCTCTACAATAAATCAAAAAATCAGCCGGGCGTGGTAGCGCGCACCTGTAATTCCGGCTACTCGGAAGGCTGAGGCAGAAGGATCGCCGGAGCCCAGCAGGTCGAGGCTGCAGTGGCCGGGAGCGGCCACTGCACTCCAGTCTGGGCGACAGAGTGAGACTCCAACTCAAAAAAAAAAAAGTGGTATATATACACAATGGAATATTATGCAGCCGTAAAGAAGGACAAACATATGGACTTTGCAATAACTTGGATGGATTTGGAATCGATCATACTTAGTGATCTATCACAGAAACAAAGAACAGAGTGCCATATGTTCTCACTCAAAATTGGACCTTGAACAATTATCATAATACCATAAGAAAGGGATTGGCAGTAGTGGGAAACTGCCAGGGGAAGGAGAGGCACACCTCATCAACAAGGGTACCTGCATTTGTATACCTAATCCTGAATTGTACCCCACATCTTTAAAATAATAAAAATAAATAAATTTTAAAAAAGGATCAGTGTTTTCCAAACAGACAGTGTTTCTGATAGAGAAAAAAACACAAAAGTCACAACAATGAGAAGCAGTATGGAACTTTACGGACCTGGCACAGCTGGACCGTGAAATGCCGTTGGGAGTTCAGCAAGGAACGAACTTGAAGAGTGGGGAGGGAGTGTGGGAGGCTGAATGAAGGCTTCCAAAGATCTCTAGGTCCCACCCGCGGGCTGTGGATGTCACCGCACCTGGCAAAGTGACTCTGGAGATGATGAAGGCGCTTGAGAGGGAGAGTTGTCCTCATCTGAATGGGCCCCAAATGTAATTGTGAGTGTCCTTGGAAGAGGGAGACCGAGGGAAACTTGATGACGGAAAAAGTAGAGGATGGCGTGACAATGGAAAGCAGATGCTACTCCATGGGCTTTGACGATGAAGAAGGGGCCAAGCCATGGAATTGGAGGCCCTTGAGTGGAGAAGGTAGGAAGGGAGACCTCCCCAGGGCTCCTGGAGGAAACAGCCCTGCTGACACCCCAACTTTAGCCCGATAATCAGATTTAGCTGATGTCAGACTTTGGCTCTCCAGAACTGTCAAAAGAAACAAATTGTATTGTGTTTCGGTAAATATGACAGCAACAACAGGAAACTAATACAAAATAGAGAAGTGTGAATTTTATTCTGTGTAGGTGGGGTGTCATTCCAGGATTTTAAGCTGAAACTGTGTGATGAGATTTGCAAAGTAGAAAAATTACTCCAGCAGCAGCACAGAGAATGGATGGAGGTGAGTTTGCAAGAGTGGAGTCAAGGAGAGCAGTTAGGAAGCAAATTGTCACTGTCTAGGCAAAAGACAGTGAAGGGAAAACCAAACCATTATCGATGAGACTTGAGAGGAAGGGATGAATCTAAGAGACATCACAGATATGGCCTTTATAGGAGTTGGTTACTGATCAGGTATGGAGACCAAGAGAAAGGAAGGTGTGTGAAGGATGACACCTTACTAAGAGATGTCACAGATATAGTCTTTACAGGAGTTCATCACTGACCAGGTATGGAGATTGAGAGAGAAACACGTAACAGGTGATGCTCAGTAAGAAATATCACAGATATGGTCTTTACAGGTGTTGGTTTTGATCAGCTATGGAGACTGAGAGAAGGGAAGGTGTGAAGGATGACTCCTTGGGCTCTGAGTTGGAAAGTTGGGTGAGTGAGAGTGACATTCACCAAAACAAGGAATTCAGTAAAAGAGTCAGTAGTGAAGACAGAGTTTCCATTTGGATCACATGGCGTTTGGGGCCCCTGTGAGACATCCAAGGAGGATTGAACCCTAGACAGTTTAATGAAATAGAAACTGAGGCCACCTCTTTCTCTGAGACAAGCAGCCTTCAAGGCAAGAGGAATATAGACATGGAGAATCTAGTGGAGGTGGGAGTGAAATTCAAAGGAGTTTGCCTGAAGACGTCCATCTTCTCTGTAAAGAAGAAAATGGAATCATCTACTGAAAGGAAGGGCACAGAATGGCAAGAGGAGTGTTAATGGTTTTTCATAACTTTGATAGAGAACGGGAGCTGAAGTTGAGGAATACATGACAGCATTGCTGAGGAGCGTCCAGGGATCGCCCCAGTCAGCTATCATGAGTAATGATAGCTTCTCAGGGGATGATAGGATATTCTTCAGGTGACCCCCACTGGGAGATTCTAAGGCTGAGGCACCAAGAACATGAAAGTGGAAAGATTGTAAAGGTGCAGTTGAGGAAAGTGGTCAAGTTGTCCGGCATGGGTACAGAAAGAAGTGAAGTCAGGGTGGAAACTATGAACCTGGCAAAGAGAGACAGGAGGAGAACGAATGCGCCCCAAAGACACAGTGGGTGTGGGGTGAGTAGAGGAGGCAGAGGAGTGGAGGAAGATGAGGTTGTAGCAGGAGTCCGCATGTGAGAATTAAAGATTTTCGAGGTGTAGGGTGCAGGAGCTTACGCCTGGCATCCCAACATTTTGATGGTGGAGGCAAGAGGATTGCCTGAGCCCAGGGGTTCAAGACCACCCTGGGCCACTTGGCGAGACCTCGTCTCTACAATAAAACAAAAAATTAGTAGGGTGTGATGGTGCACAGTGGTAGTTCCTGCTACTTGGAAGACTGAGGCAGAAAAATCACCTAGGCCCAGCAGGTCGTGCCTGTGGTGACCGTGAGCATGCTACTCCACTCCAGCCCGGGCAACAGAGTGAGACTCCAACTCAAAAAAAAGTAATAACGATAATAATAAATACATAAACTGCAAGCTAGAGAAAAGCCATTGTGAAGGAGCAGTTCACACAGCCATCCTCTGAGCAGACTAGGGGAGGACTGGAGGTCAGGAAGAGGTGACTTCCACCCTGATAACCGGGAACTAACACCAAGTTCATTACCAGATAATCAGTTTCCTCCATGTCTTTCTCGAGCTGGTGATCATTTGGTGATTCCTTATCTCTTTCCCTCTTGGCGTTTTACGTTAATGTCCTAAGAATAAAACCATCTCTAGTTGTCCTGGGACCCAGACACAGAGGCGAACTTGGGAGATTGTGTCTAACTTCCTAGCCATCCTGAAGGAAGGATGGCCAGGAGGGGCACTAGCAGTAGCAGCTACCAGGAAGAAGGATACAGGCTCGCCAAAGCCTTGGGCTTGACAAAGAGCCAGCCCAGCTTACAAGGGAAGCGGTGGACCGGGCATGGTCACTCATGCCTGTAATCTCAGCACTTTGGGAGGCAAAGCAGGAGGATCACTTGCGCCCAGGAGTTCAAGACCAATCTGAGCAGCATAATGAGACCTCATCTGTACAAAAAAATTTTTAAAAATTAGCCAGGCATGGTGGTGCACACCTTTAGTCCTAGCTACTTGAGAGGCTGAGGTGGTAGGATCGCCTGAGCCCAGGAGGTCGAGGCCGCAGTGAGCTGGGATCGTGCCACTGCATTCCACTCTGGGTAACAGCGAGTGAGACCCTGTCTCTAAAAAGAAAGAAAAGAAAAAGCCCCTGAAATGCCTAGAGAAGGGCCCTGTCTAGTGCCATGACATGTGATTAAGAAGACTGCAAAACCAAAATTCTAATGTTTGCATAAAATTCTATTCCAACTGCAGTGTTTTCCTTTTTGACACATTCTCTCACTCTACCTATTTACTGGTGAATGTTTACATCTAACTACTCACAACCTAACTTTAATCACCACTGTTTTAGCCAAAAAGCTCTAGGATTATGTCTTAGCAACAGCCGGCCTTCTTGTCAGGCGTATTTCATGGTTTAACCCACAAATGAGGCTACCTACATCTTTTTCATAACAGAGCCATCATTCTTCCGATTTTCAATCATTATCTCTTTTTACTTTCAAAAGGAGAGAAGGTTGATACTAGTCGCCTGGAAGATGTTCCGGAAAACATGGGGATAAAGCTCACAGAAGATCAAGTCGTGCAACTCCTGGGTAACTTGCCAGTTGATGGTGGGCATAAAAATACCCCAGTAGCCTTCAACAGAGGCTGAGGCGGGGTCTTTCGTGACTCATGCTCCCTGTGTAGGGAATGTCCCATGCCCCACCACCAAAATGATTTCAACAAATTGAGAACTGCTCCCATTCTTGAGTGTTATTCTTGAAAATGAAAAATATAAATTTGTAGGATAAAACATATAAAAGTCTATGTTTCCAATTGATGCGTGTGTTATACCATTTTGTAAGTATCTGCATCACTGCCTGGGACTTGAACTTTTCTCTACAGCCTAAGGAAAGGTGTATAAGACTGGATTAATGAAAGAACTGAGGAATCTTGAAGGTGAGTAAGGTTAAAAGGCAGATTCAACAGAGGTCCCTCAAGCCCTGTGTTGCTTTCAAAAACTCTTCCGATTTTACCGTTTTCAGATGACTAATCCTGCTGTCCCAACTGTTTATTAATTCAGTGTTTATTTTTCTATGTTTTGGACGCACTACAATCACCAAAATGGTTCAACCATAGTAGACCCCAAAACAGTGATTCCCAAATAAAGTGATGCATCAGACTCACCTGGAAAAAAATTGTTTTACTGTTCGGATCACTAGACCCTTTTCCCGTCATATTGATCTTCAATTTTCAGAGATATTACCTAGAAATGCATGTCATTTTTTAGAAAGATGAGGTCTCCCTATGGTGTCTAAGCTGGTCTCGAACCCCTAAGCTCAAGGAACCCTCCTATCTTGGCCTCTCAAAATGCCAGGTGACAGGTGTGAGACTTCACACCCAGACTCTTAATTTTCCTTCTTTAAAAAGTCCTTTACCAGCTAGACAATATATGAAGAGTCACATATACTTTCTCATTATTTTTCTATTTTCTATTATTTCAGTTTTGTTTTGTTTTGATTTTTGAGTCAGACTCCCACTCTGTCACCCAGGCTGGAGTGCAGTGGCACACTCAAGCCACTGCCGCCTCGACCTGCTGGGCTTAAGCAATCCTTCCGCCTCAGCCTTCCAAGTAGCTGGAACTGCAGGCACATGCCACCACACCCGGCTAATTTTATTTATCCTTACATACACCTGAGGGTGCAGCCCATTGCACACCCAGGCCATATGGTAAAGCCTGTTGTTCCCAGTCTACAAACCTGCACAGCATGTGACTACTGAATACTCTAGACAGTCATAACACAAATCACTGGGTGGTAGGAATTTTCTAGCTCCTTTATGATCTTACGGGACCATCATATATGCTGTTCGTTGTTGACTGAAACGTCATTATGCAGCGTGTGACTATATATGGAAAGATTGGATCGCCTTTGTTTTAGTTTAGTTTAGTCTAGTCTAGTCTAGTCCAGTCCAGTTTCACCCAGGCTGGAGTGCAGCCTCGGCTCAGGCAATCCTTCCACCTCTGCCTTCCAAGTAACTGGAACTACAGGCACTCACCACTCAGCTAATTATTTTATTCAGCTAATTATTTTATTTTATTGTATAAGTGAGGTTTTGCAATGTTGTCCAGGCTGGTCTCAAACTCCTGGGCTTAGGCATCTTTTGTTTTTTTTAATGTTTCACACTTTTGCCTATAATGGAATACTTTTCAAAATCTCACAGTACCTTTCAGAAATTAAAATTCTTCCCCAGGCAACCCTTCAGGTCCCCTCCCACTGTGGGAACTTTTCTGTTCTTTCAATAAAACCTGCTTTCTAATAAAAAAAAAAATCATTCCCTTTGAAGAGATTAGAAAAGAGAAAATGTGTACTTATTTTTAGGTAACCTTATCTGGAAATTTCATGAGAAGGAACTAGAAAATAATTGTGGTTTTTGTTTTTGGTTTGTTTGTTTGTTAATGAGTTGGAGTCTCACTCTGTTGCCCAGGCTGGAGTGCAGTGGCACACTCGCGGCCACTGCGGCCTCAACCTGCTGGGTTCAGGTGATCTTTCCGCCTGAGCCTTCCAAATATCTGGAACTACAGATACACACCATCATGCCCAGCTAGTTCTTGTGACGTAGTGTAAAGACGAGGTCTCACCATGTTGCACAGGCTGGTCTCAAAACCCTGGGCTCAGGCAATCCTCTCGCCTCGGCCTCCCAAAGTGCTGGGATTATAGGCGTGAGCCACCATGCCCGGCTCATCTTGATGATTTTTCACTGTGTCCAGTTCAGCAGTGTTAAGTCTTCACATTGTTTGGCAATAGTCTATGGAATGTTTCACATTGCAAAACTGAAACTCTGTACCTGCTCAATAACTATCCCCTCATTTCCTCTTCTGTTTAGCCTCTGGCAACCACCATTCTACTCTTTGAAAATATTTTTCAATAAATAAAAATAACAAGGATAGGGATACAAGCAGCTGCCCTGACAGATATTAACATGCATCACAAAGTTCTAGCTACTAAATTAGTATGTAACTAGGGCAAGACTAAACTGACTGATCATTGACAGAAAATTAGAGGTCCAGAAACTTGAATTCAAGTTTATATATATATATATAATAAGGAATTAATATGTTTAAAATGATATCTCAAGGCTGGGCGTGTAATCCTAACACTCTGGAAGGCTGAGGTGGGAAGATTGCTTGAGCCCAGAAGTTCAAGACCAGCCTGGGAAACATAGCAAGACCTCATCTCTGCAAAAAAAAATTTAAAACATTAGCCAGGCATGGTGGTGCTGGCCTGTAGTTCCAGCTATTCAGGAGGTTGAGGCTGCGGTGAGCTATGATCGTGCCACCGCACTCCAGTCTGAGCAACAGAGTGAGACTCACTCAAAAATAAATACAACAAACACAAAACTGTATATTTAAAAACAGAGTCTGGGTGCGGTGGCTCAAGTCTGTAATCCCTGCACTTTGGGAGGCTGAGGCAAGTGGATTGCCTGACCAGGGATTCAAGACCAGCCTGGGCAACTTGGTGAGACCTCGTCTCTACAATAAATAAAAAATTAGTCTGGCATAGTAGCACATACCCGTAATTCTGGCTACTTGGAAGGCTGAGGCAGAAGGATCGCTTGAGGCCAGCAGGTTGACGCTGGGGTGGTCGTGGGCATGCCACTGCACTCCAGACTGGGTTATGGAGTGAGACTCCAACTCAAAAAAATTAAAAATTTTTTAAAAATAAAAATGAAGACAGTTAAAAGAGAGTGAGTACCTGGGAGAATACTTCCAGCTATATGAAAGGGAGTGCTCTTAATTGCAGGCAACAGCAAACCTTTACAGAAAACCCAGTGTGATTTAAATCGTAAGGAAATCTACAATCCAGTAGAAGTGGGAATGCAGGGTTTGGACAAGGTTCTGAGGATGGTAACATCAGTGCCTCACTGATGTCCTCGAGGACCCAGGGTCACCAGTCTTTTCTGCCATCATAAGTATCCCCTGCATTCTTGAGTTCCCTTCTGGGTTGCCGCAGGGCTGCTTGTAGCAGTTAAGGCCACCTGCAGCTGTGAAATAAGAATCACGGTTGGATAGAATTCCCTCCCTTGGTCTGACTGAGACGGTGTGGGTCCTGCCCTCACGACCAGACTGTTGCGCTGGGGCAGTGCTGTGTTCTGATGAACTTAGGGGTCAGAATTCCTCTGGAGATGCAAGTGGGAGTGATATCTGAGCAGAACTAAGGTTCTGTTAGGAAAGGAGAGAAGAGGTATTGGGAAGGCAACCAGCTGTGCCTACTAATTAGTGTTGTTATGTTGTACATAAAAATGTAACAGAATAGTTTAAAGAAGTTCCCAGGAACACAGGAGTTTTTCCATTAGAGTGAATAACATGTGATCAAAATAGGCTTTTCTTTTTTTTTTTTTTGAGTTGGAGTCTCACTCTGGCCCAGACTGGAGTGCAGTGGCTGCTCCCGGCCACCGCAGCCTCGACCTGCTGGGCTCCGGCGATCCTTCCACCTCAGCCTTCCAAGTAGCCGGAATTAGAGGCATGTGCTACCGCGCCCAGCTGATTTTTTGATTTATTGTAGAGATGAGGTCTTGCTGCCCAGGTAGGCTTTTCAAATTTTATTTTATTTATGTCGTGGCTGGGTGCATGGCTCACACCTGTAATCCTAACATATGGGAGACTGAGGAAGGAAAATTGCTTGAAGTCAGAAGCTTGAGACCAACCTGGGCAACATAGTGAGACCCTGTCTCTACAAAAAGTTATTAATAAAATTAGCCACCAGGCGTGGTGGCTCACGCCTATAATCCCCATACTTCGGTAGGCAGAGGCGAGAGGATTGCCTGAGTACAGGGGTTTGACACCAGCCTGAGCAACTTGGTGAGACCTCATCTCTACAATAAATCACCTAAAATATTAGCCAGGCACGGTGGCGCACATCTATGGTTCCAGCTACTTGGAAGGCTGAGGCAGAAGGATCGCCGGAGCCCAGCAGGTCGAGGCTGCGGTGGCCGGGAGCAGCCACTGCACTCTAGTCTGGGCGACAGAGTGAGACTCCAACTCAAAAAATAAAAATTAAAAATTAAAAAATAATAATAATAAAGAAAGAAAGAAATTAGCCAGGCGTGGTGCCTGTTGTCCCAGCCATTCTCAAGGCTGAGGTGGGAAGATACCTTGAGCCCAAGAGTTCGAGGCTGCAGTGTTATACCACTGCATTCCAATCTGGGCAGCCGAGTGAGAGCACCTCTTAAATTACATATTTTTTCTGTAGTGATGTTGACCCTGTAAAAGGCTTTTTGAAGAAGCACAGAGTCTGTTTTATTAATAGCGGTCTGTGTTCTTAACAGAGACTCCGGGGACGTGGCGGCTCTCAGAGGGTAAGTTCAGCCTCTAGGCTTCCCCCCGTTCTGTTGACTCTGACTTCATCCTCTGACCACTCAGTCACCTGTGCGGTCGGTTGTTCTCCTGTGATTCAGGTCCCGGAAGTTTAACATTCTGGGCACAAACACGAAAGTTATGAACATGGAGGAGTCCAACAACGGCAGCCTCTCTGCGGAGTTCAAGCACTTGGTGCGTGTGGGGACCCAACCACCCCTCCAAAGGGTGCGTGGCAGAGGGGCGGCGGGGAGGGCCCTTGTGACACTTGGTCTTCTCTTTTCCTGCAGACCCTGAGGGAGCAGAGGTGTGGGAATGGGGGCCGAGCCAACTGCGACGTGAGTTGTGCAGGGTTGGAGGCCGTCTGGGGGTTTGTGCTGGGAGGGAGGGAGGGAGAAAGAGCCTTGACTCCCCAGAACTAGAAACATCAACCTGTGCTTCCAGCGGAAGTCATTCAGAAACGTCACCAGGGCCAAGGTGACAGGACCAGAAGTGCTGGTGCCCCAGAGTTCCCCGGTTTGGGTCATTTTGCTCGTGTGGAGTTCGCTCCTCCTCAGGGAGAGGTGGAAAGCCCCTGGCTGAGCTGCCGTCCACACCTGTATGGTGGAAAAGCCAAGTTCCACCTTGCCCGGGGCTTTCCAAATTCCCCACAGCTCCTGCCAGCTGGTCCTGCCAGGCTCCATGTTTAGTGGCCCATTTGTCTCACAGAGACGGGATAACATGGCCAGGCACGGTGACTCACACCTATAATCTCAGCACTCTGGGAGACTGAGATGGGAGGATTGCTTGAACCAAGAAGTTTCACACTAGCCTGGGTGTTGGGAGCCAGCCATGGAGGCCTGCCTGCTGACAAAGTCCAGGGGACTGAAGACCCCGAGTCACAAAGCAAACCTGGGCAGCTGAGACCCTTACTTCCTCTACTTTTGTTATTAATGCAGCCGAAAAGTTCTGTACAGTCTGAGGATGGAAAGCAAAATTCCACTCACGCCTCCACTACCCCTTGCAAAAAGGCAAGCGGGGAACTCATGAAAAATTATCTTCCCTTCATTTGAATTCCTCCCTAGGTTTCCACGTCCCCAGCCTCCTGGCATTAAACCATATAACCACTTGATTAAACAGTGTAGTTGGGAAAATTGTACAAAATCAGAAAGTGCCTGATGTAATGTTTGTCAGGGAACTCACTGACCTTGCCAGGAAATTATCAATAGAGATTTAAAATATCATGTGCGGGTAGATAATTACTTGTAAGGTTTTATTTCTTCTGATTGGCGACTAATTGGAGAAATTTGAGAAGCTACAGTTTGTATTTTTAGGAAGAGTGCCAATGCAAAAATTACATTTACTTAATTTCTTAATTTCTACATGTGGTGTATTATGCTTAAAAAATTAACAACCTCATAAATATTAGAGCACCCTTGCCTTTACTTCCCTTTGTTAAGGAGGCTTGTAATTCTGGTTAAAGATTGTAACTAAGGTGACTTGAGCCCAAGAGGCCTTTTGTTTTGCAAATGTTGAAGCTCATTCTCCCTGGCAGACTATAAATACCAGGTGTAACATTGTGGAAAACTAGTCAGGCCAACTTGCAGCTAAGAAACCTCGAAAATGTTGTTTTACCCCAACTAGTTGCAAATTGCTGTGTGAAGGTCACAGGTGTGACTTGCTAATCTATGTGACAATTATAGTGCTTAGAACTTGGTAGTGATTTATAATGTAATAGGTATAGGAATAAGTAAGTTTTGTATGGACATTAAGAAATGGTAATCATTAAGAAATGTTAGGAGTTTATAAGGTTTATAGTTAATGTTTAGGATGATAATGTTTTAAGATCAAAACAGCATGAACAAAGATACATTGCCTGCCCAGTCCATTAAATTGTAACTGATTGCCTTGGAAACAAAAAACATGTAGGGTATAAAAGAAGTTGGAAAAGACAATAAATCGGCGTTTGTCCTGCTTGCAGCAGAGTCAGTGTCCAAGTTTTTCTCCTGCCCCGATGCCATCCCTCCTTCAGGAAATCCTGACCCACTGGAGCTGGACCCCGGCACCTGGGCGACATAGTGAGACTTTGTCTCTACAAAAAAAATCAAAAGATTAGCCAGACAGGGTAGTCGGTGCCTGCAATGCCAGCTACTCAGGAGGCAGAGGTGGAGGATCGCCTGAGCCCAGGAGGTCGAGGCTGTGGTGAGCTGTGATCATGCCACTATACCCCAGCCTGGGCGACAGAGTGAGACCCTCACACACACACAAAAAAAATTCTAGAAGAATATATGCAAAACAGTGCTATGTATTAGTACTGTTGTTAGTATCCAAGGTTACAGTATACTGTCCCTGTAATATTCCCATTGTAAACTGAATGTATTACTTTTATAATCAGAAAAAGAGTATTATAAAAATGAATTAGAGGCGAGACGCAGTGGCTCACGCCTATAATCCCAGCACTTTGGGAAGCCAAGGTGAGAGAATTGCCTGAGCCCACGGGTTCAAGACCAGTTTGGGCAATTTGGCAATCTCTACAATCAATCCAAAAACTAGCTGGGCATGGTGGCGTGTGCCTGTAGTTCCAGCTACTTGGAAGGCTGAGGCAGAAGGATTGCCTGAGTCCAGCAGGTCAAGGCTGCGGCGGCCATGAGTGTGCCACTACACTCCAGCCTGGGTGACAGAGTGAGACTCCCACTCAAAAAAAAAAAAAATCTGACCCTGGAGGCCAGCACTACCCTTCTCTAGATTTAACAATAGAGAAGCCCTTGGATATGTGAACCAGGAGCCACAAAAGCGCAACCCAGATACATACCCACCAACTCCAGAAGGGATGCACGATTGTGGTGCAGGCATGGAAGGGAAGGCTGGCAGCCTTGAAAAGGAACAGATTACAGGCTCACACACCACGTGGACTCACTTCACATGGCTGGGAAGTAAGTCTCTAAGGATTCCATGGAGTAGGATCCAAGCGTAGGAGGTTCACAGACATCCCAAAGTAAACAGCAGCCACCTGTGCAGAGAAGTAAACATGGTCAAGATGTAAAGAAAAGCCAGGAAATGATAAAATCCAAAGACAAAAAAGCAGTGACTCCTGAGGGCAGAAGGAGACAGGGTTAGGGGAGAGGCACCCTGAGAGTTGCATGGTCTCCCTAGATGAGCTGGTGGGGGCACAAGAGTTCATTGTTCTGTTACTCTTTGTGTCTTACACGCTGTATAAATACTTATTGGTTCTGTGTCCCGTTATAATAGAAACTGATGGAAGACGGGCCTGAGGGTCGCAGCACTGGGGTCTCAGTGTGGAAGGGAGAGTGTCTCTGGCGCCTTGCTGTGGCCACCTAGTGGTTTTCCCTTCTTGCTGTCATGCAGCTTGACACGTCACTCTCTTCAGCCGTGCCTGTTAGCACCGAGTGCCATTCTCTCTGAGGACACGAGTCCTTCTGTTCCTGCAGGCCTCCCTGATCGTGACCGAAGAGCTACACCTGATCACCTTCGAGACTGAGGTGTACCACCAAGGCCTCAAGATCGACCTCGAGGTGAGTTCTGCAGCAGGACCTACAAATGTGCCAGGAGACTCAGGACAAAGATTTCCAGGGCACTTTCACTTAAAAAAGGTGGAACGGTTACTGTTAGCTGAGTATTGTGTTTATTTTGCTTTCTTTTCTCTAAAAAATCCTTGGGTATCCCATCTGAGAATAAAATCTTGCTTGAGTGTTTAAAAGATACATGTGTCTGGGCATGGTGGCTCACGCCTGTAATCCCAGCACTCTGGGAGGCGGCAGTGAGAGGATTGACTGAGTCCAGGGGTTCAAGACAGCCTGGACAACTTGGCTAAACCTTGTCTCTACAATAAAAATTAAAATAAATTAGCCAGGTGTGGTGGCGCGTGCCAGTAGTTCCAGCTACTTGGGAGGCTGAGGCAGAAGGATCATTTGAGACCAGGAGGTGGAGGCTGTGGTGAGCCGTGATTGTGTCCCTGTGGTCCAACCTGGGTGACAGAGTGAGACGTCAACTAAAAAAAAACAAAAAAAGACTTGGCAGCCATTGTTTTTAGTATACTGTATTTAGTATGCTGTGTTTAGTATTCTCTTTTCCCAACTTTCTTGAGTTTTAAATTAAGGTATACCCAGAAAAGCAGGAAATCCTGGCTTTGATTCCTAGAGACCTCTCTGTTTCGTGGGAAGAAACACCTTCAACTCTCGGGGACTGCCTTTCAGATTTTAGCAACTGGGAGTCTGGCCCGTGAAGCCAGGCTGGAGCAAGCCAGGTTTTCCAGGGCACTGGTCCTGTCCAAGCACAGCCGGATCCCCTGGCCAGGGCTTGCCTTCTTTCCACTCTGGGTCGAGCTAACTCAGCCACACCTCACCTGGAGTTGTGAGGTTCATGGTGTGTCCTGTTCCCAACCCTGCAAGCTAGGCAGGAAAGATTTCTGGGGCACAGAGCCCCGGGGCGGGGGGATGCATCTCACTCCTCCTCCCGCCGCAGACGCACTCCTTGCCCGTCGTGGTGATCTCCAACATCTGTCAGATGCCAAACGCCTGGGCGTCCATCCTGTGGTACAACATGCTGACCAACAACCCCAAGGTGTGTGCCCATCATTTTCTTTGATACCCCTTGTCCTCTTGGGACTTCTTAGGACCTGGTGCCGGTTACTGGTACCACCTTGCAGCTACATAAGCACATGTGTTCTTTCCCACAGAACGTGAATTTTTGTTTTTTTTTTGAGTTGGAGTCTCACTCTGTCGCCCAGACTGGAGTGCAGTGGCCGCTGCCGGCCACCGCAGCCTCAACCTGCTGGGCTCCGGCAATCCTTCTGCCTCACCCTTCCGAGTAGCCGGAGTTATAGGCACGCACTGCCACGCCTGGCTGATTTTTTTGATTTATTGTAGAGATGAGTCTTGCTGCCCAGGCGGGTCTCGAACCCGCAGGCTCAGGCAATCCACTCACCTCAGCCTCCCAAAGGCGTGGGATTACAGGCTGAGCCACCGAGCCCGGCCAGAACGTGAACTTTTTCACCAAGCCCCCAATCGGAACCTGGGACCAGGTAGCCGAGGTGCTGAGCTGGCAGTTCTTATCTACCACAAAGCGTGGCCTGAGCACTGAGCAGCTGACCCCGCTGGCAGAGAAGCTCCTGGGTCCGTGTTTCACCCCTTCCCCCTCTTGCCGCCTTCTGGAAGGAACCTGGCCTGTGGGCGGTTCATTCGGTGCCACGTCTCCTGAGTACCTGCCTTGAGCAAAGCCCTGTGCTGGTGTCAGGACACGGGGCTCCGCCAGGTGGGGGAATGGGTGCAAAGGCAGTTTGCTTCCCGGCCGTCATTGTCATGAGGTGGGAGGCGGCTGGCTCCTCCTGTCTGCTGTCTCCCTCTGCCTTCTTGGGTGCCACGCTGTCTCACTGAAGAAGATCTTTTAAGTACATGCTAGAAGGTGGGGCTTGATAATCCCTGTCCATTTCTTCAATAAACCCTAGGCTGGTTTTTCGTTTTTCTGCCTGGAAAAAAATTTTAGCAGACTACTTCATGTGCTACCTGGACTGGAAGTAGCTTTGTGCTGATAGAGCTGCTGCCACCAGATCTGACCTGCTAACACCTGCCGGCGACTGCTTAGCTGGTTAACACCTCCGCTGCTGGCCCCAGCCCACCGTACCAGGCAGGGAAAGGCAGGGGGACTTGGCATATCAGTCACTGCCTCTGCTGGGGAACACAGAAACTCAGGGAGTCAGGCGATGGGACTGAGGGTGTGTTTGCACGCATGTAAGTACACACGCAATAATACATGAAAGTCAGTGGTTTCATGGCCCATTGTGGGACAGATGTGTGTGTTCTGTTTTAAGAAATGACATCTTTCAGTGGCTCATGCCTGTCATCTCAGCACTTTGGGAGGCGGAGGCGAGATGATTGCCTGAGCCCATGGGTTCAAGACGAGCCTGGGCAACTTGGCGAGACCTTGTCTCTACGATAAATCCAAAAATTAGCCAGGCATGATGGCGCATGCTTGTGGTTCCAGCTACTTAGATGGCTGAGGCGGAAGGATCGCCTGAGCCCAGCAGGTCGAGGCTGCAGTGGCTGTGAGTGTTCCACTGTACTCCAGTCTGGGCGACAGAGTGAGACTCCAACTCAAAAATTAAAAAGAAAGAAAGAACATTTTTATGCAAAGCTGAAAGCGTACTACTTTATTCTTTTGTTTTCCTTTTTAGGACCTGGTGTGAACTATTCAGGGTGTCAGATCACGTGGGCTAAGTTTTGCCAAGTAAGCAGTCTTGCTAAATCCTTGTGGAAGCGCTCACCTTCAGGGTTGTGTGGAGAGCTCCTGGTCCAGCGGCCAGTATGACCTGCCTGAGGGAGAAGGGCCTGAGGATTTCACCTGGGAAGGGAGAGGCTGGGGTGACGGTGGACTGGGCTTTCCCGTTGTTCTCCCCAGGAAAACATGGCTGGCAAGGGCTTCTCCTTCTGGGTCTGGCTGGACAACATCATTGACCTTGTAAAAAAGTACATCCTGGCCCTCTGGAATGAAGGGTAGGCTGGAACTCTTCTGTCTGGGTGGACCCAAGCCCCCAGCTCTCTGCAGGCCCTGCCGGGGATGTCCTTTGGCCCTAACCACGCTGCTCCTCTCTCGGGCTCCAGGTACATCATGGGCTTCATCAGTAAGGAGCGGGAGCGCGCCATCTTGAGCACCAAGCCTCCAGGCACCTTCCTGCTGAGGTTCAGCGAAAGCAGCAAAGAAGGAGGCGTCACCTTCACCTGGGTGGAGAAGGACATCAGCGGTGAGCGTGCCTCCCGCCCTGCTGGCGGTTGCTGCAGCCTCGCGGTGCCCCCAGTTCCGAGCACCGACTGCCCCCTAGTGGGCAGAGACCGTGGCCTCGGCCGCTCCTGCCTCCTAGACTTGCGCATTTTGGTGACGGTTTTTCTCTGACTTCTTGCAGCTGAGGGCCTGTTTTGCAGTTTGTTTTGCTTGCTCCAGGGGCAATTTGTCTAGAAATTTGCAATTTAAATTTCTTCACCCCTTTTTCTGCGTTCCCAGTGAATGTGTCTCATGCAAGTAATTATATTCACGTGTGTTACCTGTGACCCACCTGGTAGCCTCTTCTAATTAGATGCCAGTCTGAATGTTTTGGCAGTGCCAGGCCACTGGACAGGACACTCGGGTTGTCAAGTGCGAGGCTGGCATAGGCCTTTCCCCCTCAAGGAGACAATTGTCTTTTTCTCTGAGATTCCCTAGTGAAAGGTTCCTTTCTCCTTCCTTCCCATTGCCCTTGACAGGCAAGACCCAGATCCAGCTGCCTCCGCAGCTCCTTGTGGTTCTGCACTGAATTAACCTGCTTCTTGGCCCAAACCAAGCCCAGGTGGCAACCCAAGAGCTGCCACCCAACCTCTTCTCTCAGGTTGCCTGCGTGCTTCTGACCCCTGGGTTCCTCCGTGGCCGGGCAGCTCTCGGCCCGCCCCACCCTGCCCAGGCCTCCCACGTGACTTATCCACATGAAATCCCCAGCCGTACACCAAGCAGCAGCTGAACAACATGTCATTTGCCGAGATCATCATGGGCTATAAAGTCACGGATGCCACCAACATCCTGGTGTCACCGCTGGTCTATATCCCGACATCCCCAAGGAGGAGGCCTTCGGGAAGTATTGTCGGCCGGAGAGCCAGGAGCATCCTGAAGCTGACCCAGGTAGTTGTTGATTTTCTGTGTTTCTGGCACTTAATTTTTGGGGAAAGTTGGGAATTGCAGGTTCCTTGGAGGATAGACAGGCAAGTACCCAAATCACACGGGGAACCTTATCTCTCCTTGTGAGAAAGAACTTTGTAGTGAGTGCTTCTGGGGTGACTGATGGGGTTTGAGAGGAGAATCAGAGTCACCAGGCCCTGTCCCACAGGGAGCGTACCAGTCTAAAGAGGGGATTAGTGCACACACACCCAAACATGCCTAAAACACGAGAAGAGACGGTGAGGGCAGGGTCTACAGGATGCTGGGCTGGCACAGTGCTTCCTGATAGATGCTGGAAGACCCAGCCTTCAGCCAGCATGCGGCTCGTTCCCTATCCCTGAGCTATGTGGGCAGCATCAGGTGGGCTGAAGAAAGGTTTTCTGGATGTATGATTATCAGCGACGTGGGTACACCATGTTTGCAGGAGAAGACAGTGATTGGTCGGAGGGCTGTGAGATTGGGGTTTTGAATGTGCAGCTATTGCAAATAAGAGATTCTTTTTTACTGGAAGAAGTGACAGGCTAAAAAGAAAAGAGAACATATTATTCAGTGTGCAAGAGACTATGTATTTGTATGTCACACATAAATTACTTTATATTAACCCTGTCATCTCCAGGGCTGTCCTTAGCATGGAGGGGACAGCCCTCTGGTCTGTCCCATTTAGCGCTTGCTGTTCTGACTCTCGGGTTCTCTATCCAGACCATGATGAGGAGTCTCTGACTTGACTTGACATTCTTTTTTTTTTTTTTGAATTGAGGTCTCACTCTGTTGCCCAGGCTGTAGTGTAGTGGCACGATCATGGCTCATGGCAGCCTCGGCCTCCTGGGCTCAGATGATCCTTACACCTCAGCCTCCAAAGTAGCTGGGACTACAGGCATGCACCACCTTGCCCTGCTAATTTTTTGTGATTTTTTGCAGAGACAAGATCTCGCTATGTTGTCCAGGCTGGTCTTGAACTCCTGGTCTCAAGGGATTCTCCTGCCTTAGCTTCCCAGAGTGCTGGGATTAAAAAGCATGAGCCACCACGTTGGACTTCATTCTTTGTTTTTATGTAATGTTTCTTCATGGTAGAGCCAACGGTGGGCTCTCTAAGGGGATCCTTTGGGGTGGCTCCCTGTCCTAGTTGCTTTTTAAAAAACAGTTTATGACCAAATATTGTATGTGTGGTGGGCTCACACATACAAACCCACCAACTTCTTCCCCGCCACACCCCAGGAATTCCCTCCAAGCACGGGACTTGAGGAGGGCGACAAGCTCCTTGACAGCTGCCTTCCTCCTTGTTCTGGCCCGAGCCCTGTCATGCTGCGGTTTCACTCTCACTTCCTGTCTGCTGCTTATCTCTCCTTCCGCGTGTGCTTCGGTTGGGAGATCTGTTTATCAGCTGGGCCACACTGCTCTTTGTTCCTTCTACAGAGGACCTGGAGCCCCAAGTGCGGGTCCTTTTCACTAGTTTTGCTTTCAAGATCCCACCCCCAGTCTGACGCCGCCACATCCATTACCATCACTGCAGGTTGAGAGACAAGGGCCTTCCCTCCAAGACGCCAGTGTTTCCTGGACAAGTCTCTGATCCCAAGAAAGGGTCTGCTGATTCCTGAACGGTGGACTGTGTTGCCAAGACCCACGAGAGGATGCCCTGGGTTGCTTGGTGTGGGCATGTCCACGGAGGCTTGTGAGGTCCATGTAAATCAGGGGTCTTCAGGGAGATGAGCTGATGACCATTTCCTGTTTCTACCGCAAGCAGATTATGTATAAGGGTCTCAGAGACAGATGATCTTTCCCGGGTCCTTCCCCCTCCTGTCTCTCCACGGGAAACCCACGCAGTGTGTCCTATGACTTGAGTGAGAGACTGAGTGGCTCACGAGTTGAAGTGTGTTACAACCTGTGTGGAACCACAAATCAGCTTATAGTCTTAGTTCTCCCTTGCTGCCCTGGTTCCTTTAGGCTGATGCTGTTTTCTCAGCTGTCTTGATCCTTGGAGAACTGAGTCCTCTTGTCTAGGGTGTCAGCTCCCCTTGTGACTGGGCCCAAGTGGTTGGGTTGCTAGGATACCAGAGCCCTGCCTCCGCAGCTCCTTGTGGTTCTGCACTGAATTAACCTGTTTCTTGGCCCAAACCAAGCCCGGGTGGCAACCCAAGAGCTGCCACCCAACCTCTTCTCTCAGGTTGCCTGCGTGTTTCTGACCCCTGGGTTCCTCCATGGCCGGGAAGCTCTCGGCCTGCCCCACCCTGCCCAGGTCTCCCACGTGACTTATCCACATGAAATCCCCAGATTCCGTACCAGTGTCCCCAAGGCTGTTTGACCCATCAGTATAAGCATTCAGTGTCTAAAATTTATATACTGAGCCAGGCTCAGTGGCTCAGCTTGTAATCCTGCGCCTTGGGAGGCTGAGGTGAGTGGATTGCCTGAGCCCGCGGGTTCGAGACCCACCTGGACAACTTAGCAAGACCTCATCTCTACAATTAAAAAAAAAAAATTAGCCGGGCGTGGTAGCGCGCCCCTGTAGTTCCAGCTACTTGTAAGGCTGAGGCAGAAGGATCACCGGAGCCCAGCAGATCAAGGCTGTGGTGGCTGGGAGTGTGCCACTGCACTCCAGTCTAGGCGACAGAGTGAGACTCCAACTCAAAATAAATAAATAAATAAATAAATAAAATTTATATACTGTAGTTCCCATATTCCTAGCTAGAACAAAAATTAACCATGACAGGGACCATAGAAAATCAGCACCTCCTCCTCCGACCCCCTTATTTCATACACGAGAGAGAACGTGCCTGACCCAGGTCTCAGCTATTGAGGACAGAACTGGGTCCAGGTCTCCTGTCTTCTAGTTGAATTAATTGTGTGCACCCCAAAGTCCTCTTGGTATTTAAATGGTGCTTTTTGTTTGATGTAATTGCCCACTGATGCCCTGTCTAAAAATGTAGAGACAGGTGAGTGCTGGTCAGAATGGAAGGTGTGACCCTCGGCTTTGGAACCGCACGTATTAGCACCATACGGAGACTGCTTAGGCTTGGCTCCCGCATGCAGAGAAGTTATCTGGGAGATACGGCCAAGCCAGAATAGAATCCGCAGACCACAGGGAAGCAGTTAAACGTTCGCATAATCTAGAAAAAGCATGAACACACGGTTCACCTTAATCTAGGCTCAGGTGGGACAAGCATTTGTTGAAAAGTCTCTGCAGCTCAGGAAAGCTCTTTCTTTCTTTCTTTCCTTCTTTTCTTTTCTTTCTTTCTCTCTTTCTTCTTCTTTTTTTTTTTTTGAGTTGGAGTCTCACTCTGTCGCCCAGACTGGAGTGCAGTGGCCGCTCCCGGCCACCGCAGCCTTGACCTGCTGGGCTCTGGCGATCCTTCCGCCTCAGCCTTCCAAGTAGCTGGAACTATAGGCGCGCGCTACCACGCCCGGCTAATTTTTGATCTGTTGTAGAGATGAGGTCTCGTCAAGTTGCCCAGGTGGGTCTCGAACCCGTGGGCTCAGGCAGTTCACTCACCTCGGCCTCCCAAAGTGCTGGGATTACAGGCTGAGCTGCCGAGCCCGGCCTAATTTTTGATTTTTTTTTTTTATAAAGAAGAGGTCTCATTGTGTTGCCCAGGCTGGTCTTGAACTCCTGGGCTTGAGTGATCCTCCTGCTTGGGCTTCCCAAAGTGCTGGGATTATAGGGTTAGCCACCCTGCCCAACCAGGAGAGCTTGGTGGAAAGAATTGAACTTCACAGCTGCAAGAGCTGGGTGTGGTGGCTCAAGCCTGTAATCCCAGCACATTTGGAGGCTGAGGCGAGAGGATTACCTGAGCCCAGGAGTTCGAGACCAGTCTGAGCAACTTGACGAAACCTCATCTCTACAATAAATCAAAAAATGAGCTGGGCATGGTAGCACACTCCTGTAGTTCCAGCTACTTGGAAGGCTGAGGTGGAAGAATCGCCTGAGCCCAGCAGGTCAGGGCTGCAGTGGCCGTGAGCATGACATTGCCCTCCAGCCTATGCGACAGAGTGAGACTCCAACTAAAAAAAAAAACAAAAACTGGCCAAGCTCAGTGGCTCAGCCTGTAATCCTAGCACTTTAGGAAGCTGAGGTGAGTGAATTGCCTTAGCCCAGGGGTTCAAGACCAGCCTGGGCAACTTGGTGAGCCCTCATTTCTACAATAAAAAATCAGCCAGGCATGGTAGCACATGCCTGTAGTTCTGGCTACTTGGAAGACTGAGGTGGAAGGATCACTGGAGCCCAGCAGGTCGACACTGGGATGGCTGTGAGTGTGCGCTCCAACCTGGGCAACAGAGTGAGACTCCAGTTCAAAAAAGAAAACAAACAAAAAAAAGAAGGCGGGCTCGGTGGCTCAGCCTGTAGTCCCGTGCCTTTGGGAGGCTGAGGTGAGTGGATTGCCTGAGCCCGTGGGTTCGAGACCCGCCTGGGCAGCGAGACCTCATCTCTACAATAAATCAAAAAATCAACCAGGCATGGTAGTGCATGCCTGTAATTCCGGCTACTTGGAAGGCTGAGGTGGAAGGAATGCCGGAGCCCAGCAGGTTGAGGCTGCAGTAGCCGGGAGCGGCCACTGCACTCCAGTCTGGGTGACAGAGTGAGACTCCAACTCAAAAAAAAAAAAAAAAAAAAGAATGGTAAGGGCGTGGGACATCCAATAGTCCAGATGAGGGTGGGCAACCCTGAGGGGCAACGGAGGCTTCCAGACAATCTCTGCATAAGGAGGAATGGGTTTCGCATCAACCCAGGGGAGGCAGGCAACTTCCTCCTGCCCTGACTCAGAGTGAAGCCCCCGTCAGTGAGCTCCATTTTCTTCTCTCCAGGTGCTGCCCCATACCTGAAGACCAAGTTTATCTGTGTGACACCGTAAGTGGCTTCCCTTCCCAAGTTTGCCGTCATTTCTAATGTCCTCAGTTTCCCCTGGGCATAGGACACTGGGTGCGAATTACCCTGCACAGGGTTGGAAGCCCCTGGGCTGTGTTGACTTCTCAAAGTGACCTTGTGTGTTTAAAAAGCTTGAGCTTTTATTTTTCTGTTGGAGACCAGAGTTTGATGACTTGTGTGTGTGTGTATTCTTTTTTTTTCCATTGTGTCTTGTCAACTCCCCCTCTCCCCTCCTGCTGCTCCCCCCGTTTCCTACAGAATGACCTGCAGCAATACCATTGACCTGCCGATGTCCCCCCGCACTTTAGATTCATTGATGCAGTTTGGAAATAATGGTGAAGGTGCTGAGCCCTCAGCAGGAGGGTAGTTTGGTGAGTATCTGACTGACAGACACTGTCCGTATGAGGGAAGTTGGTCCCCTTGGACATGCTTATGCATGCAGAACCAAGAGCTGGTCACCTGGAGTGGTTCTGGAGTGGTGCTCTCGGGTGGAAGTGGAATGTAAATGTGACTCTTTCAGTGGCCACGTTAGAAACAGGGGAAGTTGGCCGGGCTCGGTGGCTCAGTCTGTAATCCCGCGCTTTGGGAGGCCGAGGTGAGTGAATTGCCTGAGCCCGCAGGTTCGAGACTCGCCTGGGCAACTTAGCGAGACCTCATCTCTACAATAAATCAAAAAATCAGCCAGGTGTGGTAGCACGCACCTGTAATTCTGGCTACTCGGAAGGCTGAGGCGGAAGGATCGCCGGAGCCCAGCAGGTCGAGGCTGCGGTGGCCGTGAGTGGCCACTGTACTCCAGTCTGGGTGACAGAGTGAGACTCCAACTCAAAAAAAAAAAAAAAAGAAATGGGAAGTTAAGGTTTAAAAAATTTTTTTTGTTTTAAATATTTATGTGTTTTGAGTTGGAGTCTCACTCTGTTACCCTGGCTGGAGTGCAGTGGCACGATCATGGCAACTGCAGCCTCGACCTACTGGGCTCAGGTGATCCTCCTGCCTACAGTAGTTCCAGCCTGTAGCTGGAACTACAGGCGTGCACCACTATGCCTGACTAAGTTTTTAATTTATTGTAGAGACAAGGTCTCACTAAGTTGTCCAGGCTGGTCTTGAACTTCTGAGCTCAGGCAGTCCTCTCACCTCAGCCTCCCAAAGTGTTGCAATTACAGACATGAGCCTACCAAGCCTTGCTTTTTGTTTTGTTTTGTTTGTTTTTATAGAGATGGGGTCTTGGTTTGTTGCCCAGGCTGGTCTCAATTACGGGACTCAATTTGAGTCCCACCTCAGCCTCCCAAAGTGCTGGGATTACAGGTGTGAGCCCTGGCCCGTCTGAAGTTAAATTTTAATTTTCATTATCTTTCTTTTTAGAGTAAGGTCATGCTCTGTTGCCTAGGCTGGAGGGCAGTGGCATGATCACAGCTCATTTGCAGCCTTGAACTCCTGGACTCAAGCAATCCTCCTGCCTCAGCTTCCTGAGTAGCTGCGACTACAGGCATGCGCCACGTACCCAGCTAACTTTTAAATTTTTTGTAGAGTCAGGGTCTTGCTATGTTGTGCAAGCTGGTCTCAAACTCCTGGCCTCAAGTGATCCTCCCATCTTGGCTACCCGCAGTGCTGGGATTATAGGCATGAACACTGTGCCTGGCCTAATTTCTACAACGTCTTTTATTTAGCCCAATAAATCCAACACACTACGTTTCAATGTATAAGAAAAAATTGAGATATTTTTTGTTCTTTTTTTTTTCACACTAATATGTTTTTGAAATCCAGTGGGCCTTTGACAACCACAGCATGGCTCAGTTTGGATGAGCCACATTTCAAGTGTTCAGTGGCCACGCGTGGTTCGGGGCTGCATGTTACATGGGGCAGCCTTGGTCCTCCCTTGATAGCTGAGAGTGAGTTGGGTAGGAAGGAGACACAGTCCCATAGGGAAGAGTCAGTCCGGCTTTTCTGACGCTCCCTGGCCTTCATGGGCAGGAGATTGGGTCACAGAGGTGGCCGCGCCCTGTCTTCTGAAGGACAGGGGCAGCGGACTGAACCAGCCTTCCCTGTGTCCCTCTAGAGTCCCTCACATTTGACATGGAGCTGACCTCGGAGTGCGCCACCTCCCCCATGTGAGGAGCGAACGGAAGCTGCAGAGAGACCTGCCTGCTGAGGCGCCTGCCTGCGTCCTGCCCCCTTGCACCAAACCCCAGCTCATCTGAAACTCCTAACTCTGTGGTTCCAGATTTTTTTTATCTCTTACTTCTGCTATCTCTGAGCAATCTGGGCACTTTTTGCAATAGAGAATGTGGGTGACATGCTTTTATCTCAGTGCAAATAAGATTGTGTTCTCCGAGACCATAATGGGGGTTGTGGAAGGGGCAGCTGGAGGGAGAGAAAGGAAATGTCTTATGCTTTGGTTCCCCTGCCCTCTTTCTCAGCAGCGTTCTGTTGTTGTTGTTCTTAGGCAAGTGCCTCCTGGTGCCCGTGCCGCCTTCCGTCTGTCTCTGTAAGCCATGCCACGGGCACCTGTGCTGTACATGCCTGGTCTCACACTCTTGACCTTGCTAGCATCCAGAGAGGAGACAGGACTGTCTAAGCCCCAGGCTTCTTTTTTTCTCCAAGTCTGGGTCTCCCTTGTTGCCTAGGCTGGAGTGCAGTGGCATGATCATGGCTCACTGCCACCTGGAGCTTCTGGGCTCAGGCGATCCTCCCACCTCAGCCTCCCGAGTAGCTGGGACTTCAGGCATGCACCACGTCTGCCTAATTTCCCGTTTCTTTTTAAATTGAAAAATAACAGTCATTAAAGGGTAAAACCCATCGTAGTATCAGCATAACCTTTCTGATTTGAGAAACTCAGTTCACAGTCTCCTTGGTGCTTTAAGCTTCTAGTTTTCTCCAGGCTGATAATTTATATAAACCCTGAAATGGCTTCAGTTCAGCCTGGCCTTTAGTTTTGAAAACAAGAAGGTGTGAGGAGAGCCTCAACATTTTAGACTTTTTTTGTAAACAGAGTTTTCTTTCCCTCGTCATGTGTTGGCCTTCAGTGCTAAGGCCGGGCCAGGGATGCTCGCAGCTGTGCCCCCTTTCTCCCTGGCCCTCCTCTGTCGCCCAGCCTTGGTCGTTTCTGCGGGTGCCTTATCAGGGCCAGGCCGGCTCTGGCTTCCTCCCTGTCCACCTGACCCTGCTGGTGGCATGTCTCCTCCGGTGTCTGAAGGTCCCTTGTCCTGTGGCGTGAGGAATCCCGGCCTTAGGACCCCATGAAAGAAGGGGGAGAGCTACGTGTTGACCATGACTCGGACCATGGGGCCCAGGAAGGGGTCTCGCTGAGCTCAGGGCATGTGGTTCTTGGTGATTTCCAGGGCACTGGTCCTCCCTTCTTCACTCGGTTAATACAGAGCAAAGGCTTCCTGACAAGCTCAAGGTCTGCCCCAGTGTCAGGGGTATACCTGGCCTCCCCAGGGCTGGTGCCCAAACCCTGTGGCCTTCGGGTCTGCCTGCCTCGGCCGGTCAGCTCCCCTCTGCTGTGCACGCGGGACACTTTGCGTGTGCCCAGTGGCCTCCTCTGACCCAGAGGTGTGGCTGAATCTGATGACTCAAAGCCCCCTTGCCTTGGTTGATCGGGCTTCCTATGAGATTCTATCTGTCAGACCCAAGTCAGCTAGTTTCTGAACTGAGGGCGACCCTGTCACCAGGATGAACAGGACTTGTCCCGGCCGTCCTGTCCTCTTGCCTGGGGACAGCTGACCCGCAGTCCTGGGCTTCCTCTAGCCACACTCGAGTATAGAATAAGCTGAACTCATAAGGTGAGAGACTGTTGAGAAGGGTGGGCCTGGGGCGCTCACCGTGAGTTTTAGGTCACAGAGACAGAGAGCGAGGGCTTGGGTTTCTCTGGGGCAGACACGGGCGTTCATGGCACCAGGCAGCGGGTGGTCTGTTTTGGACTCTGGTTGTAGCGGAAGTTCGGAGGGGAGCTGAGCCTTGTTCTGCCCCGCTTAAAGAACAAGGTCCTCAGGGCCTGCCCTTTTCCACGGCCCCCGCCTGTCTCCAGCCCTAGGGGGTTCCCGGGGTTGCAGGTCGCTTCACCCACCTACACAGTGGTTCATACACTGCTGTCCTGGCCACCCCTTCAGATTCTAACGTGTACTTCATAACGTACAAATTTATATTATTGTGGGTTTTTCTTTGTTTTTGTATATTGCTGTATCTAACGTCCAGAAATAAAAGCGATATAGGAACCATCTGATAGCACGGCAGTCTGTGTGGCTGGGGGAGGCCCCTGTGTCCCTGGGGGAGCTCCGAGGGGGCTGCACATGCAGGTGGGGCCTGGGTAGTGGCGTGAGGGACTTAAGAGGAGGCGGCTCTAGCCCCCATCTGTTCGTCATCAGCCTGGAGGTCAGGGGCGCCCGGAGGGGCAAGGGCTCACAGTCCAGCAGCAGAAAGGTGGCAGAGTGGCACCTCCCTCCTCCTTCCCAGCGCTGCTGCTGCTGTGTCCTGTCTGGGGTCAGATAAGCCACCTGGGGGGGCTGGGGTGTGGATACCCAAGGCCGCCCCCTCCTGCTTTATCACTTTCTCTTGTTCATCCAGCGGGGACAGCAGGGACGCCCCGCTGGCTGGCTCCCTTGGGGCCCTGGGCCGTGGGTGGTGATAACCTGGGAAGCCTCACTGCCCCACGCCCCCCTCGGCCTCTTCCCTCCCCTCCCCGCATGCACTGAGAGCGCTGGGAGACTGCGGAGATACCCGCCCCTCCTCGCAGAGATGGAGCCTGAGATTAGCCGCATCCTCCCCTTCCCTCCCCTTCCCTGCCTCCCTCCCACCCCTGTGGGCCCCTGCGCCTCCCCAGCAGCTGCGCCGCCCCCTCCCCTCCCTCACTTTGAGCTCGGAAGGAGCCTGGGCCTTGTGCCCCTGCGAGGGCCCTGCAGCCAGCTGCAGCTTGGCACGGGGGTCCCAGTGGGGGAACTGGCCCTGCTTGCCCCCGCTGCCTCCCTCCAGGGCCGTCTGTCTGAAAACTGTGCAGCCGGAGGGTGCCACCTGCTGGCCTCTGGGCAGAGGCTGGGGAGGACAGGGCGATCGCTGGGCTCTCAGCTACCCCTGGCCGGAGGACTGAGAATCTTCTCCACGCTGGCTCAGCCGCCAGCATCCATGGCTTCTGCAGCAGCAGCTGGGGGAGGCCTGCTTTCTTGGGGACGGCGCCCCTAACCGAGTCTTGGGTGGTCAGCATCCTGAGGACTACGGTGCAGGGAACGGAGTCGAGCTTCAGACCACAAATGGCAGTATGAGCCAGGCAGGAGGCGGGAGGGAGTCGGCTCCAGCAGCAGGGATGCCCACCCCCCCAGGGATGCCCATGTTCCCCGGGAGTCCCCATCCCAACCCCAGGGTTGCCCACGGCCTCCCAGGGGTCTCCCTCCCCCCTAGGGATGCCTACCCTTCCCCACTCCACCCCAGCAGGCCACTGCACCAATAACATACAGCAAATTTATGAAAAAAATATTTTATTCCAAAACACTGTTTACACAAAAGTGTGGTCTTGTACAAAGTACAAAAGAATCCTTCTCATCATCCCTACCTCTCTTCAGAGAAGTCTGAAACTGAGACACCCACTGCATGAGGCCACCTCTCCCCCACCTCCCAGCAGGGAGCGGGAGCAGCTTTTGCCTGTCTTTTGTTGTTTTTTTCCAGAAAGGGAGAAGATGAACTCTGCAAGCCCCAGCTTCCCCCCACCCCCAGTTCATTCACCACGTTACAGACCCAGCTTTTCTCCCTTCCTCTAAGCAAGGTTACAGACAGACGGGCAAGGAAAGGAGGCCCGGGCTGACAGGGGAGAGGATGTTGGTGGGACATGGGCCACGACATCACAGACTCGAACCTCCCCTCCCCGCTCAAGGATGAGAGGCCAAGTCAGAGTAGCTTGGGAGCCCTGACCCACATGGGCCCAGCGCCCCTGTGTTAGGGACACGCCACAGCCCAGATGAGCTCTCAGAGAAGTCACAGGGTCTGGAGCCCGTGTTCACTGAAGTCTAAAGCATTATTCAAAAGCAAACCCCGATGTCCCTCCTGAGGGGACAATGACACCAACGGGGGCATGAGGACGGCTGCGTGGACAGAGACATGCACACACAGACACAGATGCAACACAGACACAGATGTGTACACACGTACATGGACACAAGACATGCACACACACGCACGTTTGGGGAGGGTGAAGCATCTCACTCAAGGGGGTCCTTAGCTTACGGCGGTTTCCTCCTCCCTTCCCTTCTGGAACGATCATTCAAGTAGCTGCTGAGCGGAGAGAGCGCGCAGGAGGAATAGGTTTGCCTGCAGAGTGCCGGCAGTGACCATGGCAGAGACAGATCCGAGGCCTCTTGGATGCTGTGACCCCCGAGGCCACGATGCTGCAGCCACACACCCAGTGCAGGCGAGGCAGGTGCATGTGCACACACACAACACACACACACATATGCATGCACGCCCTGGTACACGGGCAGGCTGCAAGGGCGTCAGAATGTGCAGCGATGCTAAAGCCACAAGGAGCCCGAGGTCTCCACGCTGAATTCCCGTTTCCAGAGAGAAGCCTGGGACGCAGTACTCATGGGAGGGAGCCCCTGGCGGAGGTGAAGAGCGCCGCGGCTGGGGGGGACAGGCGGGGGTCCAGGCTGTCCATCGGCCGGCGCAGGAGTTCCTCCACATGCCGTGCCACGTCCATGGTCTCATCCAGGTCGAATTCCCCATCCTGGTCGAGGGCGGGGTCAGGGCTGGCACAGAGAGAGCGAGGTCAGGGGGAGCGGGCATGGCTCACCACTCCAGGTCCCCAGGGGACAGCCCCCGGCCTGTGCCCCACTTCAGACATTTTCCTTTTTTTTTTGAGTAAGAGTCTCACTCTGTTGCCCAGGCTGGAGTGCAATGGCACAATCATGGCCACTGCAGCCTAGACCTGCTGGGCTCAGACAATCCTTTTGCTTCAGCCTTCCCAGTACCTGCAACTACAGGCACGTGCCACCACACCCGGCTAATTTTTTGTAGAGATGAAGTCTTGCCAAATTGCCCAGGCTGGTCTCGAACCCCTGGGCTCAGGCAATCCTCTTGCTTCTGTCTTCCAAAGTGCTGGGATGATAGTCATCAGCCACTATGCCCAGTTTTGGCCGGACCCTCCTGCTCCGACCTCAAGCTGGGCAGTAGTCGCTGGCTCCTGGGGAGACACCCACTCCACTTGTACCCCTTGTGGCCTTGTGGAATGATCTTAGGGAGTTCACGTCCCGCTCCTTGTCCTCATCTGAAAAACCAGGTGGCTGCCTGGATGAGCTGCCCACCTGCAGGACTCTTCAGTGAAACTACACGAACCACATTCTCGGAGCACCAACAATGGGCCCAGCCCTTTTTTGTTTTTTTGAGTTGGGGTCTCACTGTGTCGCCCCAGCTGGAGTGCAGAGGCACATTCATGGCTACTGCAGCCTCGACCTCCTGGGCTCAAGCAATCCTCCTGCATGTATCTTCCAAGTAGCTGGGACTACAGGCCTGCACCACCATGCCTGGATAATTTTGATTTTTTGCCAAGCCTTTGAACCACATCAGTTTTCAGAGCCTCCTGTAAGCCAGGTTTCCATTTTTAGTTTTTCTTTTTTTCTTTCCAAGTTTTTCTGACACTTGGCCACGTTAGGAAGTTCGTCGTGGGCCACCTGGCTGGTCGGTGGTGGGGTCAGATTGGAATCTGGGTCTTTGTGACTCTCAAGCCTGGGGTGGCCCCATTGTAACTTGTTGCCTCCCAGACGCCCACACATCCAGCCAGGACACCACCAGCGAGGAGGGGAATTAACTTTCCACCCTGTCCCCCTGGATTCTTAAGAGCAGCCAGCCATGGCTACTACCCTGTGCGAAGCCCTCACGACAGCCACCCTGTCAACGCCTTGCCTGCACTGCCTCATGGAATCCTCACCCCCGTCTTGAGGCAGATGGTCTTGCCCCCTTGACAGGTGAGGAAACAGCGTCAGAGAGGCTCAGACACTCCCAAGGCCACACAGCTAGTCAGTGTGAGAGTGGAACAGCTAGCTTCAAAACGCTCCGTGTGTCTTCCTGGTTGATCTTGCTTTCCCTGTACCAGGGCCTCGCCAGGGCCGGTGGCCTCAGACCTGGAGGAGCACCGCGCACCCCCCCAGCCCCCCAGAAGCCCAGCCTGGGATGCTGTTCCGGGTTCCTTCCCCACAGCCCGCGAGAGAACACCACCTACTTCTGGGGGTACATGTTATAGTGAGCCTGGGGGCACACAGCCGGGGAGGGCGCCTGGTCCACGTACGTGGCGCTGGCCCCAGCATCTGCAGATGCGCTCACAAACCTGCGGGAGGAAGAGGATGGGGCTGAGGCCAGAGAGGCTGGGGCGACTGGCTTGGGAGGGGCTCGGGAGCATCTTTGTGTCTTTCTTGGGGTGCAGAAGGACAAAGCGCCCCACTCAACCCTAGGGCTCCAGTCGCAGGAGCGGGGTCCTGAGTACAGGCCACAGCATGGCCGAGTCCAGATCCCTCCCCAGGGCTGAGGCAGGTTCCCCGGAGTCCCAGGAATGGGAGTGGTGGCCGTGTCTGGGAAGGAGGCCAGAGCCATCTAGACACTTACTCAGGGACCACTTGCTTGATCTGTGGCTTTACGTATCCGTCGCCTGCTTTGGCTGCCAAGGGGAGAAGGGTGGTGAGAACCGACGCCTCTGGGAACCGCCGCATGGGTGGAAGCCCCCCACCCCATGCAGTCTGCCTCCTGCCACACACCTGGGGGCCCCGGCAGGGATGAGATTTCCCAGGACTCCCAACAAACACCTGTGAAAGGCCCCAGCCTAAGGGCCACTGAGACCCCTGACCTCAACCCCATCCCCGCTCCTGGTTCCATCTCCGGCCACCTGCTTTGCCTTCCCTGCCCCCTTCCCAGCCAGAGAAACAGAATCAACCAGAGAAGCCAAGCCAACCAGTGGGTCTGGGACAGGCTGAAGCGGGGAAGCCCAGCCCTTTTGCTTCCTGCACCCACTGGGGAAGGTGTGAGGGCGAGGAGAGGGGAAGGCTAAGTAGAGCCCTCTGGGAGCCTGATGGCCCCGGCCTCTCCCGTGGCACGGCCTCCAAGGGTGCAGAAGTGAGACCATGTGGCCGCCACGCTATTGAGAAGAGAGCTGGGCCGGGTTTCACTTTCCCTCTCAGCGGGAGCCCTGAAATCCCCTCCACCATCCTGTGGGCCACAACCCACAGGGGAAGCGGCCCCTGGGCTCTTCCAGGGGAGTCCTCGCTATGGGGCCACGAAGAGCCCGGGAATGGCAGGCATCAGGGCCCTGGGACCGGACGCACCAAGCACAGGAGTGTAGTACTTGGAGAAGACCTCGTCCTTGGGGCGATCGGGAAACACGTAGATGAGATAGCTCAGGTCGCCCAGCCGGTCGGCCAGGGACCTGATGGAGAAGTCCCGCGTGGTGAATGGCTTCAGGTTCCACAGGTTGCGGTCGGCTGTGGGAGGACACCTCATTCCATGAGCTGCCACCAGCAGGAGATGGAGCCTGGGAGGCTCCAGGGCAGGTGGGCAGAGAAATCGGGGCTTTTATGCAACCCCAACCTGAGTGCTCCTGGGAGAGGGTCGGAAGCCCGCCAGAATGTTCTACCCAGCAAGTCGGGCAGGCAGACGCCCACGAGGCTGGGTCACAGAAGTGGTCAGAGGACCATCCACGTGGCTGGTGATTTTAGATTCTCCCAGATGTAAAATGGTAGGAGAGTACGTTTCCCAGCAACCCCCCCCACACACGCACACTGAGTTCGGCTCCCAGCCCTCCCAGCGGGGACCCTCCATCCAAAGACGCAGGCCTGATGACGGAGCGGGGCAAGGAGATGGGCGGCAGGGCCCCGGGGCTGGCGGGGCGGGGCGGTGAGACGGGCACTCACGGGAGTCAAACTTCCAGGCAATGGTGATGCCCCCGATTTCGGAGTCACTAAAGCGTAACAAGAAGGTCCCATCGGGCTTGTTGATGAGCAGGTCATGGGCTTGTTGCTTATTCACAAAACCTAGGATGGCCCTGGGTGGGGGGAACGTCGAGTGTCACGGCTGGGCCTGCTGCCACCGTCCCCGGAGCCTGAGGCCGACCTCCCGGCTCAGCCCCCAGCCCCGCTCCTTACCCATCATTCCAGTGGGGCTTGTGGTGTTTCTTCAGAACCTCCATCACCCCATCGAACCACTGCCAGAAGGTGTAGTTCCAGCCCGGAAGGTTCTCCTGGGAGGAGACCCCCCAAGTCAGGACTGGGGCCCCAGGTCTGTCAGAGCCCTCTTGTCTCCACCCAGCCCTCGGCCAAGTCCTGACCCCACCTGTCCCACGTTCAGCAGACCACACAGCGCTACAACCCGTCCCTGGGGACCCAGAGAGTAAATTCGCCCCCTGCTCCTCGTCCCTGGGGACCCAGTTGTTCTTATGGTGGGTGAGGTGGGAGGATAGAGAGTAAGCCAGCCTGGACGGGACCTCCAAAGTCATTCCTGCCCCAGCCCCTCGTTTTAAAGATGGGAAACCAGCTCATGCCTGTCATCCAGCACTTTGGGAGGCAGAGGCGAGAGGACTGCCTGAGCCCAGGGGTTTGAAATCAGCCTGGGCAACGTGGCGCAAGTCAAAAAAATTAGCCGGGCATGGTGGCACACACTTGTAGTTCCAGCTATTTGGAAGGCTGGTGAGAGGATTGTAGTTCCAGCTATTTGGAAGGCTGGTGAGAGGATTGCCTGAGCCCAGGGTTCAAGATCAGCCTGGGCAACTTGGTGAGACCTCATCTCTACAATAAAAAATTAGCCGGGCATGGTGGCATGTGCCTGTAGTTCCAGCTCTTGGCAGGCTGAGGCGGAAGGATCACCTGAACCCAGCAGGTCGAGGCTGCAGTGGCTGTGAGTGTGCCACTGCATTCCAGTCTGGGGTCCGAGTGAGACTCCGACTCAAAATAAAATAAAGATGGGAAACTGAGGCCCAGAAATGGAAGGGGCCTAGCAAGTTAGCAAACCAATCTAGGACTCGGACCCCACGATCCCAGGCCCCAGCTCCAGGGTCTTCTGCTGTCCTGCCTGGTTCTCACAGACAAGCACAATTCTTGCAGACCCTGTCTGCGCTTCTTGGGGAGAGGCGCCGCCATCTCTCCTGGCTGCAAGAGGGGGTGACTGGGAAAGGGGTGGGCTGCTAGCCCCTGGCGGTGGCCTGTCTGTGGGACAGGGTTGGGATGGGCGGGGGCCAGGCGGGCGTGGGCCTCACCCTGTTGAACTGGGCCCAGGACACGGACATGCCGCTGTAGTCCTCCAGGTGGCCGCCGCTGCCGTTGAACAGCTTCTGTGCCAGGAACACGAGGTTCTCCTGGGTCAGGCCGCGGCTGCTCTGCACTTCGGCCTTGAACTTCATGTTGAGCGCTTCGCACAGCTGCGGCCACCGCACTTTGTCAGGCACGGCAAACGGCACCCTGCCCTGCAAGGGCGAGGAGGGGGTGGGAAGGCAGACTGAGAGCGCCGGACATACCCACACACTCACACGAGATATACAGATGCCAAGAGACAGAGAGGTCCAGAAAGGTGACACACACAGGGAAAAGAAAGGCAAGAGCAGGGGGAAAGGAGGGGTCAGCAGGGGTGGAGGACAGAGACCGGGGGCCCAAGTCAGCCACCAAAGGAGGGGCCGAGACCAAGGCCAAACACCAAGCTCAGAGCCCAGGCCAGACACGGCCCTGAGGACATGCCAAAAGCCGAGCATCCAGCATGGCGGCCCTGCCAGCCTCACCTCAACTCAATGTGGTCCTGGGGTGAAGAAGGCCACTCAGCAGGGGCCCAAGGACTGGGGTTGACCCCGAGGAAAGACCTAGGGTGGGAGGGGGCAAGGCGGGGGTCCCAGGGGACTCACCGGCTCGGCAAAGGCATTGTCCCAAAGCACAGTGGCAGTGGCATTGTGGTCCTGGCTGCCATGGACGATGACAACCACCGGTAGGGACAGAGTCTACGGGAGCCAAAGGAATGATGGCTGAGGGCCCATGCCACTGCATGGATTAGGCAGGATGCCCACCCTCATGCCTCCCCCACGGCTCCAGCCATGAGCCCCTCCCCCAACACCTTAGAGCAAGCAAACAAAAACAAGTAGCAATCTATTTCTTCTTAGCGTGCTGCCTACATTGTGTGGGATAACTCGGTCAGGGTTTCGCTCTGTCCCCCAGGCTGGAGTGCAGTGGCAGGACCATGGTTCACCACAGCCTCAACCTCCTGGGTTCATAGGATCCTTCTGTCTCAGCCTCCCAAGTAGCTGGGACTACAGGCGTGTACCCCCATGCCTGGCTAATTTTTTAAAAATTATTTGTAGAGATAGGGGTCTTGCTCTGTTGCCCAGGCTGGTCTCAAACTCCTGGCCTCAAGTGATCCTCCAACCTCAGCCTTCCAAAGAACTGGGATGACAGGTGTGAGCCACTGTGTCAGCCAAAGTAGGTTTTCTGAGAGCGTCACAGGGTAACTCGCCAAGACTTGTGTGAGGATTGAGCCGTCTGGCTTTCCCAGACCAGACAGGTGGCTCCAGGCAGCTCCCTCTGCCTCCTGGGTGACCTGTGGGCCTCACCTTCACCTGAAACACGAGCTCATTGCTGCCAACACTGAACTGAGATTCAAACAGAACCGTGAACTTCTCCTCTGTCACAGACTCTGCGCCCCGCCGATCAGCACGCTTGATCCTCTTCAGGGACTGCAGGGCGGGAGGTCGGGGGGGACAGGGAGATGGCGGGTGGTTACAAGGACTCGGTCTGGGCAGCCCTTCCCCCCGAGGGCCGGCCCGCCCTCACCATGTTCCTGAAGTGGGCGCTGAGGGTGCCTGTGGCCTGGTGATATTCCATCACGCAGCAATTGTTCAGAATCTCACCGCTGCTCTCACTGCAAAGATGGGGTACCCCAGCTCCACATGGGCCCCGGGCGGGGAGAAGGGCCCAGCCACACCTGGGACTGGGTCTTCACTCCGGACAGCCCCGCCAGCAGCCCCTGCCCCAAACCCTCAAGGGCATTCTCGGTATCTCTCTGGATTACTAACGTTTCCATCAACCTGAGAGTACCCAAGGCCCAGGTCCAGCAGTGGGGTCTGGGTCTGTCATTAGGTTAGAAATTCCTTGGGCACCAAAACTGTTGGTGGGGGAGCATCTTTTTTTTAACTGGAGTCTCACTCTGCCACGCAGGCTGGAGCGCAATGGCACAATCACGGAACTCCCAGGTTCAGGTGATCCTCCCATCTCAGCCTCCCAAGAAGCTGGGACTACAGGGGTACACCACTACACTTGGCTAATTTTTGCTTTTTAAGATCTTTTAAAAAATTTTTTATAGAGAAGAGGTCTTGCTATGTTGCCTATGCTGGTCTTGAACTCCTGGGCTCAAGTGATCCTCCCGCCTCAGCCTCACAAAGTGCTGGGATTATAGGTGTGAGCCACCGAGCCCAGCCTCAACTTCTTATAATGGGTTTATGGGATGTAACTACATCCAGGAACAGACAAGTGATCAAGGGAGACATGGACATGTCTGCATGCTGGAACAAAAGGACAAAAGAAAGGCACAGGACTGTCACGGGCCACACAGGAGCCGGCTGACAACAGACACCGTCAGCCACAACCGCCACACCTGAGCCTGGAGAGGAGGAGAGGCAGGAGGGGAAGGGGCGGGGCAATTACTTGCGGGTGTTCTCGTTCTTGAGCAGGGACTTGGCCTGCTGCTCGCTGATGATGGTGGCCTTCACCTGCGGGGGGTTCATGTGCACGTTCAGCTTCCCGCCCACCAGCAGGCGCACGGTGGCCGCAAACTTGGTCTGGGTCTTCAGGACCTGAGGGGGCTGCTTCTCGATGATGAACGTGCTGCGGGGACAGAGGGACCAGACAGGCCTGAGATGCTGCTCGGGGAGGGCTCCGGGTCCCTGGGGCAGAGAGGCTGCCTCCCACAGGCCCAGCAGGGGAGGGAGAGTCTGGGCATGGCCTCCAACCCAGGAAGCCATGAAAGTCGGGGAGATGCTGGGGAAGGAGAGTGGATACAGCAGCTGGCCTGGCTGAGGGCACCAGGGCAGCTCTTGCAGTGTGTGACAAAGCCTGGCTCAGGGCGGTCCAGCGGCCCCAGCACCTGGACGGGGCCTGAGGCAAAGATATGAGGGCAGACGCAGAACTCCAAAACACTCGCTCCTCCCAGGTGCCCACTATGTCGAGCTGCCCCACCCCCTGGGTGTGGCCAGGGCAGCGGTCACCTGGTCACCAGGGCGGAAATGATGTCCGTGATAGTGGCGTTGACCTCAGCCAGCATCTCCTCCACGGGGCCGGGGATGGGCAGCTGCTGGCACAGGTGCTCAGCCCTGCGGATCTGCTGCCGGTTCTGCCAGATGATCTCAGCCAGCTTCTCGCACCTGCGGGGCCCAGGGACCAGGAGGACGACGACTTCCCACACCCCAGGCCAGAGCCTAACCCCAAGACCAGCTCCGCCTGCCCCCAGCAAGGCCTCGCCAGGCAAGGCTCTGGGCTTGCCCATCTCCGTCCTGGGGCAGAGCTGAGGTGCCACCTCCCAGAAGCACAGGGACACACATGGGGGACCCCGACTCAGGCCCAGCCAGCCCGGGTGTCACTTGCACATCTGGGCCCCGCCCCATTCCCCGGATAGTGACTCCCTTCCTGGGGGAGGTGGCCGTGCTGGGGACCGCAGTCTGAACCAGGACCAGGCCCACTGGTGACACAAGAGCTGGGCCAGGATGGAAAGCAGGGACTTGGCCTACTGCTCGCCGATGATGGTGGCTTTCACCTACGGGGAGGGGGTTCATGTGCACGTTCAGTTCCCACCGCCCGCGCCTTACCAGGACTGCAGCACGTCCAGGCTACCCTCGGGGGGCCCGCCATTCCCCGCCAGCTGCTGCCGCCGCTTCCACTGGATCAGCTCGTCATCCAGGATGATGGTCTGCTGCTTCCGTAGCAGCTGCAGGGTCTTCTGGTGCTTCTCAGCCAGCTCCTGAGGGCGGCGGGAGGGTGGACCTGCTGGGCTCCAGCAACACCCGCAGGGCGGGTTGGCTGCACCCTCTCCCAGGGGCTCAGCCTCACTTCCTGCCCAGGAAAGAAGCCTCTGCCTCCTGCCTCCCGGGGGCCTGTCTGGTCCCTGCTCCATCCCTCCCCTGGCCCCAGGACTCAGGGAGTGGCTCACGCCTGGGGTGAGGACCCGGGACCCCACTCACCACGCGGTACTGCTGCAGCGTCTGGGCCTCGCGCTGCAGCCAGGCCTCCAGGGCCACCTGCTTCTGCTGCAGGGCCGGCTCCCGGCTCAGGCGCTCCTGGGGGCTCAGCTGGGACACCTGATCCAACTGAGCTAGAGGGGACAGGGCACCATGACTGTTACCTCCCAGTGCCCAGCAGGTGGCCCAGAGTAGCCACCCACCGTGCTGGGCAAGACCTCAGGGAGAGACACCCTGCCAAGGGCATGTTGGGGCTCTATCAGCCCAGGGTCAAGGCGAATGGGCACCCCAGAAGGTAGCCTCTGGGCCCTGCTCACCAGGCCCTGCTTCCAAGTGTCCGCTTGGGGAAGACGGGTACTCGGTGCAGCTGAGAAGCCCGGCCTCTGTCTCCTGCCATCAGCCCCCACGGGGTGCCAGCACCCCCCTCAGTCCTGCAGGAAGCCAGGCTGCCCGGGGTAGAAGTGTGCCACGACCTTTACTAGCTGGTGAACCTGGGCAGGTCACTGTACTCTCCTGTGCCTTGGTTTCCCCACGTGTAAGATGGGAGAATCCTGGTACCCGCCTGGGTGGGTTTCTGAACAGTGTAAACACATGACGACATGGAAAATGCTCAGGAAGTGCCTGGCATGGGTAAGCTCTGTGAGGATGGGTCCTTAAAGGGGCACAGGATAGGAACAAAGGGTGACAGGAACGAGCTGCTGTCGGCCCCTCCCTCCCACAGCAGGGCCTCAGGAGCCTGTCGTGTTCATCCAGGTTGGGTCGTGGAAGCCCAGCCGACCAGCCGGGGGGACAGACAGACAGGAAAGACAGGGTCCCGGGCCCACTGGGGACACGGAACTGGCGAGACTGTTGTGGGAGGGAAGGCCGCTGCTCGCCACAGCAGCTCAGGAATCACGCCTTCGCAAGGCCGGGGTGAGTGGGCCTCCCTGCCTTTCCCAGCTCCCAACACCTAAAAAACAGGGAAGGGGGGCAACCCTTTGGGTCCCCTCCCACAGTGGGAGCTTTTCTGTCTTCTCAATAAATCCCGCTTAAAAAAACAACAAAAAAAAACCTAGAAGGGGAGGGACACTGGGACGACTGGGTCCAGAGCCCACCAGAGAAGTCAGGCATCTCCACAGGCACAGCCACCTGCAGACCCCACGATGACCAGCCCCGTGTGCCAGTTGATCCCTCCTTCCGGCACCTTCCCACACCCTGGGCCCAGCTCAGGCTGGGTCAGGAGGGCGTGCACACCAGCATGTCTCAGTCGAGTTCCTGGCTGGCTCCTGAGGTCACATCCGCCTCGTCCTACCCCATGGAATGCACACACTGGGACAGACAAAAGCCACTCCAGATGGCCAGGAAAAACACCGAACCAGGACTGAGAATGACGCCTCCAACCTCGTCACAGGGGGCCGAGCAGGAAGAGTGTCTTCCAGGATGGAACTGACCAGAGGGCTCTGCATGGCCACCCCGGGGGCCCTGGCCACCCACTGGAAGGGCAGGGATGAGACCCGCACCTGGCCCAGCCTCCCTGGGCCAGGGCCCGCCAGGTCGCTCCCGGAAACGTGCAGGAGCTTCTGAGAAGACCAAGAGGGCACGAGGCAGCTGCCCTGCTCCAGCGGGGGAGCTGAGCCCGCCCCGCACACCCAGACCCGCATCTTTGCTTCTCAGGGTGCTGCGAG